GCCTAACTCGGCAGGGTGGATCTTAGTCCTTACTAAGTTCCTGGATGCTCTCCTTCCCCTTACTCCCCCTGCCTCCTACTGCGGATGGAGAACCGAGTGTCCTGGTTTTACCTCCTACGACTACTTCAAATAAAACTGCGCTTAATTCACTAGCCCATTTGCAAAATAAAGTTTTCCTACACTATCAACTGAGACCAGCTTACCCCCCGACCGCATGTATCTGCAAACCATCCTTGACCTGCTTGTCTTATGTTGCCCGGAGGGACCTTCTTTCTCCATTCCGTGGCAATCGTTCTCTGAATCATCAGTTTGAAGGTGGCCTTGATCTCTGGGTCCGGCATGATTTTGCCCTCGAAGATGGTTCGGTTCCTCTCTGTCCGGATGACCCAGAAGCCCACTGCTCTGATGGCCTGAGCCACATATCCCCATCCTCCTGTGCTTTGAAGGTTCTCTGGCAAACCCCCTAACAGTACCCATTCTCTGTCCCATCTCAGCACCTCCCCTGTCCATCCTACCCATTGCTTTGCCCACCATTTCCAGATTCTCTTGGAGGCTGGGCAGTCCCACCAAATATGTGGGGTCGATTCAAAGGTCCACAGACATCTCTTACACTGTGTTTCCACCGTCATCCCATTGCTTGTTAGCCAGACAGCCGAAGGTGTCGCCAACAGTGATTCCAGCCAGAGTAGGGCTGCTGCCCTTTGGTTTGGAGCATCTGATAACTGTTCCCAGCAGCTCTGAAGGGCCCGTGCTATTTCCTCTGACTCTGTTGGTAATATCCTGCTTCATATTTCTGTTGCTGTGCTATTTTCTCTGACTCTGTTGGTAATATCCTGCTCCATCTTTCTGTTGCTGTCATGAGAGGGGTTCTGGCTGGGGCTAGCACATCCTGTGCCAGACTCAGGGAGAACTCATCGAGCCTTGCATGTTCCCCACGTGGCCCCCTGCTTCTCCAAGCCCATTGATTTGGGTCAGCCTTCAGAAGTTTTTTTGGTTTACCATCATTCCATATCCGAACCTGCCAATCTCCTTCCTCCTCCAACTTCTCCCTCACTCTAACTTCCTCTTCCTCCTCTTCTAGACTTTCTAGTTCCCCCTCTGAGCCCACCAGTCTCCATTGCTGGAACTTTCTGCCTTCCTCCTCCGACTGTTCCAACCGTTGATGTATTGTGAATCTAGTGGTGTGGAAATACAGGAGAATAACCTATTAGATTTGGTCATTTTGTAGATTTTTTATTTGACATGAAATTCGTTTTGTGGTATGCTTTGGGCCTTTCGGTTCGGGCGGGAAACCATTTTAAGTTGAGAAAACTACCCTACCCCCCCCAGGGTAGATTTCTCAACTTTCGTGCCTTTCTATTTTTTGTTTTTTTTGACATCATTACATCCTGAAACGAAGGAACTCGGACAGCTGGGTTTGGCTCTTTGGCATCAAACTCCTTTCCTTCTTTGGGCAATGAACACATTTGGCCATCCGTGTTGTCCCTGTCCATTTTACAAATGGTGACCTTCTGTCCGCTCATTTTCCACGGAGACGTTGGGCATCGCTCCACTACTCTCTACATGCACAAATGACAAAAATCATGGCGGTGTATCTGTCCATGTTCTAGCGGAAGATCCACTCTCGTTTTGCACATTTACTCTCGTTTTGCACAGCGAGGCCCATTCAGTCCGACTGTGCCAGACGTGTTTTTTTTTTTTTGGCCAAATCTCAATCATATTAGGGCCCAGTGCCCAAGGCAATATACACAAAGGGTCTCACTCCACTACTGTCCACTGTACAAAAGCGGACAGTCGTACTTCGCTCCACTTACTGTCCACTGTACATGTGCAAAATGGCTTGGACAGTTTTGAGAAACCCCGTCGAAAATCTAGTACTGTCCGTGAATGTACAGCTCCCAGCCTGCCTGCAAAATTCGTTACGCGGAAAGTCGTAGTCCTTCAAGGGACTCACCGTGAGGACCCAAATTTGGAGAGTGCACCTAGAGTCCGGGCGGACAAAATCCTTTGGACACCCTGTCTTGTAGTTCCTTTTTTTTTTTTTTTTTTTTTTTTTTTTTTTTTTGAGAAGTTGTCACTCTGTATTCAAAAGGATAGAGGCCTGGGACCTCACAATTCAACCCGGATGTATCAACTGCTAGAAACCGGGTCCAGAGTCCCATGACCACTTTACCCTCAGACAGGAAACAAACTCCTCAAAAATGAATAAACTTAAAGCTCAGTAAAATTGTGGCTAGGACCAAATAAAATACAATGCCCTCCGTCCTACAGCCAAAATTGATCTAGAAGCCTAAATTCCTCAAGGAAGAGTATACTTGAAATTCAGTAAAATTGTGGCTGGGACCGAACAAAATGCAGTGCCCTCCGTCCTACAGCCAACATTAATCTAGAAGCCTATTTAAGGTTCCCTGTTGAAGACTGACACAAATACCCTAACATCGGGAAATGAAGATCTAGCCTATCAACAGTCCCAAAAAAAGGCTGAATGGAACAAACAGACGCTACTGGCCAATGCCAGAGCTAACACCAACATCAATCGATATGGAGGAGATAAGAAAACCCCTCGATTCTAATCTTTTAACAGCCAAGACGCAAACTGGAAAACGCCATTGGGCTTAGATAATACCAACTGAGCATTTAGCCCCCAGGTTCGAAAAAACCAACTGGCTGTTTTGGGGCTGTACTTGCCCCTATATCGCCTTCTCCAATCTGCAATAACTGTGTGTCTAATTTCCGCCTTCACCTTGTTAGTAATGTCTTGGAAGGACAGGTGAGAGTCTCGAAAGACCTGATCATTACGATTTGTCCACAAAACACCAAAAATGATCCCTCTTACCACTTGTGCGATATATCCCCAGCCAGCATCGGCCGACAGACCTGCTGGTAAGGTACCTACCAAAACCCAATTTTCGTCCCATGGAAAAATATCCTTCGAAATCCGCTTCCAGTGTTTTTCCCACCACTTCCATACTCTAAGTGAGAACGGGCAAGTATACCACAGATGTGTTGGTAGCCTCCCATGCCCATTTGCACCTACAGCAAGTTGTAGAAATCTCCATTCCTTTAGAGTGTAGCCATACGGCCGAAGCAGTAACCAACAGTGACTGCAGCAGTAGTATACTAGCCTGCTTTTGAGAGGGCAGTGCCTTCAGCTGTTTCCAGTGCTCCAGGAGATCTTTCCGAGTTACAGGCTGTAACGATTGTTCTTCTCGTCTTCTGAGTACTACATCCACCATCTTTTTCTTACTCTTTTGCTGCAATAGTTTTACTCCTCTCCCTGTTGACTACTGCGTCAGTCCTACCGGCTTAAGGCTCTTCTGATCAATCCATCCAAAACCACCAGGATTTATGGGTAAGTTATTCAAAGTCCTTCCCCCTGCCAGTATTTTCACTTGCGGGTGAGACGCCCCTGCTGCTGGCTCTGTCTGTGATAATCCATTCTTACGTTTGCAGTATTGAACCTCTGTGATTATCTGGCTTGAGCCTTTTAAAGAACTTACTGTAGTTATGTCTTGAAAGGACAACAGTCTAGAGTAGGGTGTTAGCTCAGTAGCCCGCCAGACCTCAACTGTAAAACCACTGCCCTCTGTAGGGCCCAGTAAATGCCAGTAGGTCAGTTGATCTACCCCTGGAGCCTTCAGCCAGCTATCAGAGACTGGCTGGGACGACATGACTTGAATCCAACTCTCCGGTATCGAATTCTGAATATCAGCAAGCCGTTCCTCGACTTTCCTCATACATCTTAACTGACTCCTCACTGAAGCTTCTGATCTCCAGTCATTCGATTCTCTATCCCACAAATCCCCCAGACAGACGATTCCTCTTTCGATCCAAGCCTTTCCGTAGTTACCCGGTAAGTCTTGAGCCGAAAAGGGGTGCCCTTCCAGGTCTCGAAGGTAAGGGTTTTCAAAAATAGGCTGCAAAAGAACTTCATCGAGGGACCCAGGGGGGATCAGGTTGGTTGGCAAGAGTTTGGACCACGCATACAGGATGTCTTTCCAAAAGCGAGAATGGGGACGCTTACGACTGTAAGATTCTATAAACAAACAGCGCCATACATCAGATGGATTACTCAAATTTGATTCCTTGCTTAGGATATATTCGGCAAGCCAGATCCAAGCATGAGAACGCTCTGCTAACACAGCCTTGATGGGCCATTTTGCCAGTAGGGCAATATTTTGACGTTTGGGGTCCAGAATACCGAAACCTCCTTCCTCTCGAGGGAATGTAAGTGATTCCCAGGCCACCTTAGACAAAAAACCGCTTCCGGTTTCCAGAGGAATCTGGCGGCTGCATTCCTGATCTTCTTGTAGGCTTGATACCCGAGCCGGTGAACTTGCATAGGATACCACAAGACTGAAAAGGCCGAAGATGTAAGTACCAAGGCCCGCCCCAGTAGGGACAGGTGTCTTGTAGTTCTATCTTCTCAAGAGTTGGGTTTTCGAGAGTTTCGGGCCCCTCGCCACACAGCACTCTCGAAAGGGCGATGGTGTTGGACAAAGAACGAAAAACGACAGTGGTACAGCTTTGTTTTTTCCTAATAACGGCCTGACAGCTCTCGAAAATCGAGAGTCCTTGGAGTGCCCTCAGGAGGACGCTTGAAAAGAACGGTGCTGCAGGCTGGGCGTTTAGGAGTTTCGAGAGCTACTCTCGAAACGAGGTTCTGACAACTCTCGAAAGAGTTTTCGGGCCACAACTCTCAAGTGGCTGTGCGGCGACGGCTCCAACTCTTGAAAACCGGGTTTCAAGAGTGGTGTGGCGAGGCCCTAAGTGGAGAGATGTCGCATTTTCCACTGTCCGCTGTACAATATTTCGCTCTGACAACTGTCCATCAACTGTCCGAAAAATTGTACTGTGGACAGTAGTGGAGCGAGACCCAAAAAAAAAGAAAGAAAACTTCAAAAAAGATATTAAACTGATCAGATCAGATACAGTGCACTTGATCTTGCCCTTCAGCGCCGAGAAAGGTCTGCGCGGGGAGTTTCCGCCCGCTGGTCTCTGCCCTTCAGCGCCCCTCCCCGCCGCTTTTCCCCTCGCCCAGCCACTTCCTCTCGCCCACCCCGGGCTTGCGCGTCCGCCCACTCCTCCGCCCCTCCTGCCTTTCCACCTCCAGGGACAGCCCGCCCGCAGCTGCTTGAGGGCGTACTCAGACCAGCACCATCTTACATGTATCTGACCGCATTTACAGTCGGTCCTGCATGCATCTGGTCGCACTTCCGTCCAGAAACAAGTAAAAACGTGCCAGTGTAAGTATGCCCTGAGTTGGGTCTACGGCGCGCTGTGCCACCAGGTTCATCCCGCCCGTAACTGCCTGCGCTCGGTCTTCGGCGCGCTGTGCAGGGGAGTCGTTTGCATGCAGATGTATGACCAGCCTACGTGTCATCATCCTCTTGCGTGTGTGATGTGTGTGACGTGTGCGTGACGTGTGTGTGACACGAGGCTTTTGAGGGTCGAAAGGGGAGGGAAGGAGAGTGAATAGACTGAGAGGGG